GAAGCTATGCATTCAAGAAGGTGAACAAACTGCAAACTGGATAGACCCCAAAAGAAAATGACCAAGATATACCATAATCAAACACTTCAAAATAAAAGACAATGAAAGATTCCTGAGAGCAGCTCAGGAAAAGCTAAAAGTTACCTACAAAGGAGAACTATGAGAGAAATATGAGACTTTCTTCTCCCATAAAGATTTACCACCTAGGAAACCATATTCAGGGTCTCTCTGAGTGACTCCATGGCACACCACCACACCACAAAAGAGAACCAATAAGACTAAACTTTTATTTCTCAGCAGAAACCATGCAGGCAAGAAGGCAGTGGGATGACATATGTAAAACTCTGAAAGAAAAATATTGCCAACCAAGAATCATATACCCAACAGAATTGTCTGTTTAATATGATGGTGAAATTAGAACATTTCTAGATAAACAGAAATTAAAACAATTTGTAAAAACCCAACCAATCTTACAAAAACCCTAAAGGGAGTTTTTTGGACAGAGAACCAACAACAGCAGACAACCTGAGATTAGCATACATGACAATATCACACATAACACAAGCCAGATATAGACGTATTCAAAATTAAACAAATCTAAAAGACTGAAACTCGGAACTCAGAATTATCAGTGTTTAGCAACAACAAAAATAAAACTAAAGAACAAGGCAGACAGGAAAATAATTAGGCAGGTTTGCATGGACTAAGTGGGACAGAGGTAAATAATGATGTATGCACAACCTTGGAACAACAGGGCTCTGGGAGACAGGGATTGAGACATGGTTGGAATGGGCAAAGGGGGGAAATAATGTTAAGATGCTTGGCTGTCTTTTGAGTCTTGGTTTTCCTTGCATACCCTTATAAAATAGACACTTGATGGGGAGAGAAAAGAATAGCCAGAAATATCACCATAGAAAGCTTGTAAATCCATATTCTGCTTATAACGGATTGGAATACCTAAAATGGGGCTACAATGTACCCAGTGAAGGAGGCTTCCTGTGGAACCTTTGCATTGCATAAGACCATAGGTGGAATCCTGAACTGCATCCAGATCTCCAGAGGTGGGAAATTTCCACTGGAAAGGACAAGCAGACCAGCCTGGAGTGGCTAGAAGAACAGAAGACACTTTGTGAAAGAAAGACTGACAGAAAAATTACAAAATAATAACGGCAGTCTGACTGACTACTACAAGAACAAGCAAGTTGCTCACCCAGGAGACATCAAGCAAGTGGTCGGGTCCCCTCAGGGCAAACCCCTTTCCAAGACTAAGACTCAGTGGGAATACACAAGCAGACACGTCCTCTGACTAGTGACCATGTTGGTCACCGATAAGGGGAAGTGAGGGAAAAACAGCAATGAAGCAGCAAACTAAGCCCTACCATGTTCAATAGACTCCTGTGAACCCGGGTGGAGACCTGGTTGGCCAGCATTATGGCAAAACCTGGGGACTCCTGAGCCACAGAGAACTAGAGTGGAGAGTGAAGCATCCAGCTGATAAGAAGAGAGGGCATATGCACAAGAGCACCAACACTTGCAGATAATACCCACTTGACCTGGCTTCAATGGCTGGATGATCAGAGCTCAACTAGAAGAAGAAAGAAGAGGAAAAAAGAGTGATCTGATACAATTTGATGAACTTGACCTACACCTATGAAAGCAGTAGCTCAAATGAGGGAACACATCTTTACAGCGAGGATCATTCCCACCCCCTCAATCGATACACAGGGTAGACAGGGATGGGCAACTTGGACATTGGCTGTCCAAAATGGGGGGCGGGGGGACTACAAAGGCAAGAAGTGACTGGCTTACAAGCTTTCAAGAGGGAGCCTAGATCCAGAGGGCATGAAGGAAGGTAAAATCTCCACTGAGTAGTATTCAACCTGTCTGGGCGGGACTGATGAAAGCAGATGGGGTAGCACTCATGTGGTACAATAGTAAATAATTACTATCAGGACTGACTGTGAGGGTTGGAAATATAAACAAGGGGAGTGGTTGACTTTGCAGGCCAGGAGCCCCTGGGACCATCAAGGGAGAAGAATGGAGTGCAGGACCCTACCCAGAGAAACAGTGACGCCAGAGATGGAGGCAGAGACGATATCGTGGAGAGATGGAGTGGCTGGCAACTCTAGACCCAGAAAGGGTGAGGGGCTATGTGCTGACGACCAAGGGGCACACTTGTGGGGTGTACCCTTTGGTTGGTTGATGATGCATGGAGGGGATTGTAACCATGGCAATGTAATGATATATGATAGGATGAATGTAAAGCTAATGTTCTCCCATGTAAACTATCATACAATTCACAATAAAAGTTTAAAAAAAAAAACAAAAACTTTTTTT